ATGACGCAAATTATTGGGAAAGTTTATCTCATGGTATTTTTCTGCTTTCCGTTAAAACGGATTACCTCGATTTCTACTCTGAGTGTCACACCTCATCAATCAGCAGTCACGAAAGTCAGTGCGAACTGTAGTGATATGATGCGCTCGTATCAGACGACATAGTACCTTTCGCCCATTCCAGTATGATCACACTATAACTAGATGCTGTGCCTATTATTTGGAGGTTAAAAGCTTGTTACCCGTTTCTCGGTTGGTTGCAGTAGGCAGTATGGAATGAATTCCTTAAGGAAATTAGCTATCAAGGATTTCTGGAGAATTTGAAACGGTCGTTTTTCCGCTCCGAGCTCGAAATTTTTGTTGCTTCACCTTAGTGTGTCGTTGTTAGTATTCGTTGTGTTGCTCCCAGTAACTTGTTTTTTAATCATCGGACCATTTAGGATTCAGCGGCAAAGAAGACGGTTCCGCCATGGCTTCCAGTAGGTCGTTCTCCACTCTTTCCAACAGCAGTTTCTCACTGTCGCCTTACCTGGGCGATCGTCTAACGTCTACGATTTCTGAGGCTCAAGCGAAGGTGATGTCTAAAATGGACCAGCTGCACAAGAAATCTGGCGGCTTGGCGAAGCTCAAATCCAGTGTCTTTTCCGTCGTTAACGACATAAAAAGTCTGAGGAGTTTCGAGCAGCTCGGTTATCCGCTGCGTGCCAGTTCAGGGTCGCTGAACACTTCGGACACTGCATCGGTAGCTGCTGGAGACCGGAAGTACGCTAACGAAGATGTGGCTTCTGTGAAAGTAGGATTCTCATACCGCTTCGCGGCTTGAATTTACTGGTTTCATCCGTTTCAGGTCGACGAATGTTCGCTGTGCATGAAGCAGGTCGGCGACGACGAGATTCAGGTCGTACATGACCCAGCGTTTCAGCTGAGCTCTGGCGAAACGGGCACCCTGCTGAACTACGACAGTAACGGCATGTGGGCCAGGGAAACGACGTGTGACGCCACCGATGGAGTTGAGGTTCTGATGTGTTCAAGCAGTAAATGCAGCCAGTGCGGTCTTTTGTTGTACGATGAGGAGATCATGTCAGGCTGGTCTCCCGACGATTCGGAACTGAAGTCCCGGTGCAACTTTTGTGGTATTAAATGGCTTACTTTGTGTTCTAACGTTTTTGTTTGCTATGCAGACTCTTTGTTTCAGGAAACTCATTCGTACCCAATCTGAAGGTTGTGATTCGTGAGTTTTCCGAGACATTGCCCGAGTCATGGTACTACAGGAGAGCTCCGTCCGCGTTTGACAGTCCTGTGGCATCTGACAGCTCCCTGTCCGGAAAGTTGGACGGCGAAGGCAACGCACGCCTTCTGAAGGTAGGTTCTGGTGTCGCGACGACTAGTGGCCACAAATCGTTGTGCAAAAGCGACTCTTCGCTGAACGTCGCCGACTGTTCCAGTCGTGGTTTTATTCATCACAACAGTGTTCGCTTCGAACCAAACGGTCAGGCGGCGAATGCAACCGCTGTTTCAAGCAAAAGCCATGATTCTCGTGGTGCTAAACCTGACCTGTGGCGTAATGATTCGGACAAGCGCGTTGATGTCAGTAACATAGTGTCGATCACCGTTCCTTACTTAAGTCCGATCGTGCTGAGGAAGGAGTTAGAGAATATAATCATCTCGGAAGGAGACGGTGTGCTGACCAACGAGAGCTTCCTCGAACGACACCCGATTGTCTACTGGAACATGGTGTACGTATTTCAGAGGATCTGCGTACCGTCGCACTTGCTCACCTGGATACCGAACTTTTATCTCAAGGACTTGAGGGCTCGCGGCATTGCCGCTGATCAGCTCCCGGATCTGTCGAAGTCAAAGCGGCGGGTGCCGCTCGTTCGTTGCGTCTACGAACTGCCGATCTGCCGGGAAGACAGCTCCGACATGACGCCCCTGTTCCTCACCCCGTCGGTGCCGCCGCAGCGCGAATGCAACTCTTCCTCTTTAGTGCAAGCCTTGTTCATCGAAAACCGGGTCGTTTACAAAACGCTTCGCCAGCAGATATTGGATTACCTGTCGGCGCAGAACCTTCATAAGCCGATTCAGCTGCTGCTCAATGAGCACCGTAAGGTGTCTACGCCGTCACGAACCGTTCACGCATTACCAAAGCATTATTC